AGGACTAAATTTATTAAGTGTCTGAAGGCCTGGTGTGTTTGTGCTGCTCAGACTTTAATATCTTTACGGGATAGATAAAGCAGTAGTTCTTCCTGGGTCTGATGCCCTATCCCACACTGCACAGGGTACAGTCTGGTTTGATCTGCCATCTTGTCACATGCCTTTGTCTGCATTATTTAATAAAAGATTAATGGGGGAACAGCACGGAAAAAAGGCAACGTCCTCGCAGGATAAACATCTTCCATTCTCCCACTGCTCTCTTCCCAGATGTTAAAGAGCTTTTACATGACTTTTGTTATTGTCTAACCCATCTCTGTTACACGAAGGCGCTCAATGCGAGCCAAAGGGCCATAAAAGGACATGAAAAATGTATAAAGAATGCATCCAGATAACACAGCTCCACATCATCAATGCATTACCCCTCCTTTCTCCTCATTCTTTTTACCTCCCGTCTCATTATCTCACCATCCCTTCCTTTCTCCATCTTTGTGCGATTCCCAGTCTCTTGTCCAGCTGCGCATACCTAACTGGGAACATGGCCTTTAAAACTTTGGTATTTCCTCTTGACCCATTCAGCCAGTCCACGCCTGCACGATCAGCAGGAGAAGGTGACCGAGGAGGAAATTAGTCATGAATTTTTACTCCTGAACTCCAAAGAATGTGGCTGTGACCTACCCCTTGCAATGCAAAACAATTTGAGAATGTTTCAGAGCCGTGAAAGGCAGCATTATTTGAATTTCTGGTTTAAAAGGTGTTGGGCGACAGATGTTAAAACAAGTTTAGGAAAACCATTGAGAAAAAATGAGTTATTCAGTACTCATTAAAGTCAAGCTCAAAACTGAACAACGTACCTACATTTTTTATGAAGAAGCTAGCATTAGCGCAAATGCTCGGCATGCTGTGAAAAGTAGCAAAACAAAATTCAACAAACTTGATTAAAATAAATTCCTCAAGAGTTTATCCGTCTCCAGCCCAACTGCACCTGCTGAGTGACTTGGCAGGACTGTTGTGAAAAGTGATTCTAGAAATAGATGCAGCTACTGTATAATGAATCCATTAGCCATTAAACATACAGATTGCTTTCAGTAGCATCTCAGTGAATGGGAAGAGAGCCACAATAACCATGCCTTTAACCATAGCGGTGTACCATTTACTATTCATCAAGTTCAAAACCAGTATACTGCAACACCTCTATGCATATGGTCTCAGGTTACAGTGCTGTTTAATACTGGAAATCCATGCCACATTAGCTAGCCAGTGCTAACACGCTGATATCGCCGTGTATTAGCCTGTCAGCTACTAAGAAAATAACAGCTTTAAATAGTATCTTGACTGGTCTCCAGCACAAAATAGACAAAAAAAAAAAATATTGCTGTTGGTTGGTTGTCAGTGGGAAACCCTATTAAAGATAATGAAAACAGTCTGTCTAACTTTATCTGCCCCCAAACACAAACCTTGAAATTCCCAGCAATGCATTTAGTATTCAAGTAGTCACGATTTAATCCCATCAAGCATTATAAGAAGCCGTCGAACTACAAGGACCTTTAACACTCAATATGATGCTGCACTGCTCTGCGTCCTCATATCACAGAGGAGCGCCAACATAATGTCTGATATTCCCAAGCCTTCAGTTTATGTAAACATAGAGCCTGAAAAATAAGTTACTGGGAGACAGTGCAGATGAAGCATGAAGTAGCAGTTACAAAATGTGGTTTCATTTGAAATGACTGAAATAAAACAAGACACTGCTTGTTGCAAAGCAATTCAGAGTCGCAGATAAGTCAGAAGACAGCTTAGCTTTTTATTCCAACATTGCATTCATCTGAAACAAAGTGATCAAGCAGAAGATAAACATTGGTGACAAGACATTGGTGTTTGAATCCATTCACCGGGCACTAAAAGGCAGCTGAATGTTGATCAGTTATTTATTGCTACAGAACATATATGCTCGTCCCTGCTTTGCTACTGCCACAACTGCAACACAAGTCTTTGTAAAAAAAATAAATAAAATAAACTGGACCTGCGATCACGTCCAGGTCACTTCATAACTCTGAAAGTTACCAAATTAAAGGCTGGTGCATAAAATGTAGGGATATTGATTTTATGTAACTTGGAGTTTGAGTGGTTCAGATTTAAAAAACAAAAACAAAAAAACTTTTAAACAACAAACTGCAAAATGTTTTTCACCCTGAGGTTTGGTTCAAATTGAGAAATCACTCCTTTGCATTTGGAGGTTCCTGTCAACATCCGGCTCTCGTTTTCTTTGCCACATTCTCTCCTCCATCTCCTTTCCTCATCTGTCAGTGCTCTTAGCAACAAGCCTTACATGGACTCAAGACAGCAACTGACCAAACACTTTCAGTCACTCTACACAGTCTACATTCATTTCCAGCTGCATCACCATTTCTTCTATACAAACTCAACCTGCAGTAGTTGCATAATTAGTCTTGGACCAGAAAATCCCAGTGGGGACTGGTGGGAAAATGAGAATATACCTTATCATCAGCTTTGATACTTTTATTGTGGAGTTCTACTCTACTGCTGAGCCAAACTGGAAAATGACATCAGATTTAAACAAAAAACTATCTGGGTTAGGGAGATTTAAACATGAGCTTTGCTTCACTTACTAACCGCAGAGATATATTAACCACAAAAAGGTTTCTGGTTTGACAGACAGGGTGCTTCGCCTCCGTGCTAGGGCTCTGGCTGGGCCTTAGGTCCTTGTTGGTGTGTCGCCGAGGTTGTGGGTGGGTGGGGGCACAGGGGCTCAGCCCTGGTGCAGGGGGCCACTGGTGCATCGGCCTAACTAGGGGGCTCTTTAACTGACAGGGAGTTTGTTCCATCGTTGCAGGAGTCCACTCTGCAGGTGGGAGAGAGTCACAGGAGAGGTGGAGAATAAACTTAACCTGGGTGTCTACTGTCTTGTGCAGTCTGGGAGATGACTGAATGTTAGGGTAAAGTTTCCTCTGCGGTGGGGTCAGGTGGGCTGCCCCAGGTCCTGTGGGGGCTGGGTGGTCCTGCTGCCGTAGGACCCGGTCTGGATGGGCCTGGGCTCCCTTGCCTTGGTGGGTGCCAAAGGACGGGGGTGCCTACTGGGGTCAGCGGGGGAGCTGAAAGCCCATAGAAGTCGGAAACATTTAAAAGGTTTAAAATATACAGGGCATCCAATAGTACTCCAACTATAATGCTGTTGTAGCCACTTAAATACCAAATGCTTCAGTTTGCCCTGACTGAAATAATAATCTCATGACTTCAATTTAAATGCAGGCTCAGCCTTAATTTAGTGCATTCTGCCAAAATGCACTTGAATAAAATATAGTACAAAAGTCTTTTCTCATTTTTCCCCATTTCTAAGTTGTAAGTGATCTTTAAGAAAAGCTACAAATTCATCAATATGGATGAAGGAGGTCAGAAGAGAAACAAAGTGAGTATCTACAGTCATCTGTACAACACAATAGAGCCTCTGTCATGGTTTGGTGGTTCAGCCAGTGGTGGCGATATTGATGGGATTATAAACAGAAAATATTTAATCATCCTGTAATACAACCTAGAAAGTGTCTGATTGGCAACGGTTTCAGTTTTCAACATGACAAGAACTCCAAACACACGGCCAAGGGAATAAAAGCATACCTGACAGCAAAAAGCTTCTCCCCAGAGCCCAGACCTCAACATTATTGAAGCAGCGTGGCATCATGTTAGCAAAGAACAGAACAAAAAGGCAGAAACATCCAAAGAAGAGCTTTAAATGTCCTTCAAGAAGCCTGGAGAACTATTTTCAAAGACTACTTAAAGAAATAACAAGAAACTTTGCCTAAGAGAGTTCAGGTTGTTGAAGAATAAAAAAAAAGGTACTCAGACTAAATATCGGCAAGCTTGTTAAAATTGTACAAACACTGTTTTTGCCTTTTAGACTGTTGTTACATGTAGTTTACCCGAGGTGGAAAGTAACAAAGTATTTCTACTTCGTTACTTTACTTCACTTGAGTAGTCATTTTTCTGACCAGTTTTTACCTGCTAAAAAAACAAACGGAGGTAGACTGTGTTATTTGAAGTTTGCATGAAAACACTGTTTAGTACAGGATAAACAGGTTACTTTGCTGTACTGTGATGGATTTAAAGCATGTGAGTGATGCACAGAGGCTGTAGTGCTGATGGTCAGAGTTAGGTTACATAAAAGGGTTGCAGAGATGAATTTGAAGTTAAACTGATGATCCTTAGATTCATTTACTGAATTCCACCTTCATATGAACCCATCTAGAACAGGGGTGGGAACTCCAGGCCTCAAGGGCACAGCTGATTCAAATGGCTAAATGAGCTCCTCAAAATGTCTTGCAGTTCTCCAGAGGCCTGGTAATGAACTAATCATTTGATCCAGGTGTGTTGACCCAGGGTGAGATCTAAAACCTGCAGGACTCCTGCCCTCGAGGCCTGGAGTTTGACGCCTCTGGTGTAGAGGGTGGAAATCGGATGGAAATCAGCCAGGACAACTCATGAAACAGCTTTTGACACAAAGATAAGTAAAACTCAGCGTAGCAGTAGCAGCAGGTCAGCTGACCACAGCCTGTACATGAGAATCTAATGGCTCCCCATACTGAGCCAGTACAATTGATTTTAGGGTTCCTCCACCTGCTGAATCCACTGTAAACTCTTCCCTACACATTTTCATGTTGAGAGGCAAAGTCACCCTCTACAATGGAGACAACAGAAAATAGAGCTTTTTGTTCAGTTTCCCTTTTTCCCTGCTCATGTTCTACTTACCTGAGTGAAAATTTAGACTGAAATAAAGTTAGTTTCCCATCTACTTATTTTATTTAATAATTTAATATAGCCCAAGGTTCAGTTTGCTTTTATAAAAATAAGTGGTAGAAACGTTCTTCGAGGAGCTACCTTTACTTTCTTTGAGTACGTTTCAGAGCCTGTGATTTTTACTTTTACATGAAGTTGAATCTGTACTTCTACTTAATTACAGGATGCTTTTGCCACCTCTGATGTTTACACACCTTTCATCAAGCTGGATGCACTCATTTCCCACTTTCCTGGCAAAACAAGAAAAGAGGAGAGACTCAAGATTTTTGCTCCGTGTTGTATGTGTGTGACACACACACACACACGCACGCACACACACACGCACACACACACACACTATTTGTTCAAGCTTCACTCAGGCGGCTGTAAAAGCTTTCACTGTTCAACTGTCATGAGGCTGGGAGGACAAAGACAAAGAAAGTTGAAGGGGGTATCAGTGTAACCAGCACCACATCTACACAGCTCTGTTACAAAAAAAGACACTTTACTGTAGTCAAAAAGCTAAAGGCACTCATTATGCTGAGCCTCTGTGGTCCAATCACACTGCCAAGCCCAGCGTCCTATATTTAGCCAATTCAAAGCATTAAAATCACAGAGGACTTCAATCAGCAAGAACAGAAACATGCATCCAAATTTAAATGAGGAAAAAACTCTTAACACGGCCACAGCTATGCAGCATCAAACCTTAATGAGCAACAACATGAACTGATCCTGTTCCAGGAAAACATACAGGAAATCATGCTCATCCACCTGATTGTAGTTTACAGCACACATGACAAAAGCGAGTTTGACTCAGATTTACGGACTAATCACTGACTTCCAGTCAAAACCCGTCTTGCGAGTTACTCAGTTGACCGTTTGTTCCCAAGCGAGTCACTAACTGTGGTGACAAAAAGAATACAGACTGATTTGACCACTGCATTAATAGACGGTGTGCAGGATACAAATGCAGGTCAGTGCACTCTAAGAGTTTTTATTTTTCTTGCTGCATGCACTTGTAGTCATACCGTGGAAAGCAAAAAATGAGTGGAGCGCAACAAAGAAAACACATTTTGTGGTACTAGCAGCAGTCAGCGGTCTGCATTATGATAGAGTTTTACACTGAAAATGACAAATCCCGTGAAAAGGGCCGACACCACCCATATCCTGTGACACAGGTTTGCAGAGACTGTGTTGATGACCTGAGTGAGCAGTTTGATGAAGCAATATCTGTGAGCAATCCAGTTTTTTGGTTTTTTTTCTTTCCTCGTGTGATGCAAGAACAAGGTGTTGCAATCTTCAGGTAATATTTTACAACTGAAACTTACTTGCGACCCTTAAAGCATCCGTACATCCCTGCCATGGTATAACGATGAGATGAAGCCAAAACGTGATTTGTGCGTTTTCCCGATGATGCCCAGTTTCTTCTGGTCTATGAATTTAAAGCTCTCAAACCCAAAAACTTGAGGTTTTTGTCTTCCTTTGCCCCTGTATAATGAAGACTTCTCGCTCTTCGCAGTAGAAAAGATGCCACTCCACAAGAGAAGATTGCCTTCCTCCAAGTCAAACCATCCTCTGAGGTTCCTCCCACTTTTGAGTTCCACTGAAGTCAAATTTCATACTGACCTCTCTCCTTTCATAAATCTGGCAGGAAAAGCACCAAAGCTAGCCAGTCTAAACCACTCCAAGACTCGCATTCAACTGCAGCCAAAGTGGGACGATCATAATATCGTGCAAGCAGCACAAAAATAGAGTTAGAAAAACTGAATCGCCCTTTAAAAATGAACAATTCACCAGAGAGAGAGGAAAACGTCTCTTCCCCCAACGACCACGTCCCACAAAAGAAGAACAAATTCTTTGAGTGGTACAATGCCGTGATGAAAACAATGAACTATAAATGACTGACTGGCTGCTGCATGCTTGACTCCTCTCCTCCCAGTCACCACGACTGGTAATGCTGCTGAAGCACAGAGGGAGGAAAGATAAAGAGGGAGGAGAGAGGGAGGGAGGAGGCATGTGTGAACAAGATACTCCCCCCACGACCTTATCCTTCACCGTCTCTTTCTACTGTTTAGATATAATTAACCAGTGAGTGCCAAGTGGTTTATTGTTAATGTTTACTTTTACTAATATTACCTCAGATGTTTCCCCATAAAGACAGTGAGCAAAAAAGTATAAAGTGTGTTGTTATTTGCAGTAACAGCACACTTTATATCCAATATAGCCTTCATAGTTAACCCTAAAGACAAATGATTACAAGTCACTGTCAATTGTTATATTGATACAGCCGGTTAAGACCAAACCTAAAGAAATGTTTAAACTGGGCACAAACATGCCACTGTCCTGTCTGTCCAATATGAAGCTGGAGCCAGCTAGTTCTCGTAAAAAAGTAAGAAAATCTACTAGTCTTCACCGCTGAACCTCATTAGTCACCATGTAAATTCCAAGCAGCAAGCTCCAGGACTGGAAGAAGAAAAACAGAAATCAATCTGAAGAGGAAGTGATGGAAACTGTGGTTTCGTAAATGGCCGATTTACTCCCTTTTTATAACAGTTTTGGTTCTTTTTGGTAATTATATCCACAAATAATAAAAAATATATTTAAAACAAGTAAGTGCCTTAACCTGCATTCTTTTTAATAGCCACCAACAGATGATAGCGGTGGTTGCAAAAAACACTTTGGCCCTCAAACTTGATTTCAGTAAACTCTTTCTTGGTGACCCATTCAATTTTACAAATTAAAATATTAAGTTGATTTTGTGTATTTTTTTTTTTTGGCATTTTGCATTTCAGAAAAGTAGACTTCCCTAGCTCAAGTAGTAGAGCATCTACGAATCAGAAGGTTGGTGGTTTGATCCCTGATCCATGCCAAAGTTTCTTGGGCAAGATACTGAAGTTAGTGTGTGCGCGAATGTTAGATAAAGACACTTAGAACAGAAAAAAGTGCTCCTATGAATAGTTGTAAATGAGGTATAAAGCGTCTTGAATATACTAGAGTAGAAAAGCGCTACATTTCCATTTACCATTTAGCTGTGACGGACAAATTGTTAGCTGGTGAGGATGCAGGTTCACAGTCTCTTATCAAGACAGCAATAATAAAAAAAATGGTCATCTTTAAAACCGGACTTCCCGACTAAAACCTGTCACAGAAATTGCATCCATCTTTAATACCATCTAATAGATCAAGGCTCAGTGTTTTGAATTAGCAGGGTTTGGCTTCTTCAGCAGTAGCTTTAGCTGCTAGCTATCTACGGGGCTTCACCTATGCCAATTTCAACCATGTTTGCTACCTTTAGAGCCATTTAAATACAATAGTCAGACAAATAAGAAGACTTGGAGTACAGTTAATTTCAATAAAAAAAACGACCAATGCTTGCTTTAGTTTTCTTGCTTTAGTGAATGAAAATGCTGCTTAACCTTAAACACAGAGACATTGCTAATCCTAAAAAAGCCTTCAAAACAGAACTGTACCACCACAGTAGGTACACCCATGTTTAACACATCATCTGTGGTCATTTACACACAATGATGATGTCCTGACTTCATATCCTGGGCTACTTTAGTGCTGGTATGTTTACTAAGCTATTTGTTTCTATTTTTTATGCTAAGTTATGCTAGCAGTCTGGCATCACCTGGAATTAAACCATAAACTCTCCGTTACAATACATTTGACCACATGTCAGGGTTTAAAAATTAGTGGAGCATTTCAGTGTGCTTCAAATACAAAAGGACAGAGCCCAATGTTCTCTGCATCTCAGTAGGAGGCCTAGCGGTCGCGCAACAGCCTGTCGCAGCTAATCGCTATAAGTAGGAAGCTTAACCACTAACAGCCACTACAGCTCAGAGTGCTTACACTGTGTGTGAGTGGCTGTGAAGTGACTAGGGGCTGATCCTGAGATTTCCTGCTACAACACTGAGTCAATTTTAGCTAAGAGGCCAATTTTTTTAAATGATCATTAGAAGATCACTATATATCAAAACAACTAGGAGCTGTATGCCGTTATCTGTAACAGAGCATGTGTTTACATGTTTAAACAGTTAAAAATGTTGTCGGAGTGATAAGAGTGAAAGTATAAAGTCTTGCTTTTGTCACACTACAGACATTTTTATCTTAGTGATCTTATAGTGACACAAACACACAAATCACATGAATCATCATGGTGTTGACATAGTAATGCTGTTAGTGGAACGGATTTCTCAATCCCAACATGCCCAGACTGAATACTGTCTGTGTGATTCAGTATTCACTTCAGACATGTCAAAGCTTTAAAAGTCACTCTGTCTGTGTGTGTGTGCAGCAACGCTGTATCAGTTCCAGAGCTCAACAGCTCCATTTCAACACAATAATACACAAACACACAGATCAGTTTTAGCATGCTGGGATTGTTGGGAAATGTCTTTACTCATGCGTACACACCCCTAGCATAAAGTCCTACCAAGGACTGAAGTTGTGTAGACGGAGGATTTCCACCGATTTAATCTACGGGTTAATCGGCGTTTTCACCAATAAATTCACTGCTGAATTGGCTTTAGTTGAGATTAATGCCTGAAGCAGGCTCTTGGGATTTCCCATCCTGGTATAGTCTGTGCATTTATTCATTTCTAGTCTGTTTTCTTTGAATCGTGTCTCTCCCTGACACATTTGTTGTACAAAACATAATTTGTAGAACAATAATTCTATCACCTACATTTTTTCATATTTTAAGTCTTTCGAGGAACTTTAAAGTGCCGTTGGATGATTCCGTAGTGAAATAGAAAGAAAAGGCTCAAAATTTAAAGAAATCTAAAGTCTGCTTCCTGTCACAAAAAACTGGGTCAAACCAATTAGACAAGTTAAGTTGGTGCTCGGCTGCCAGGCAGCAGGAAAGGAAGTGATGTACAATTTTGATTAGGCAATACACCAAACGCTACACAGACAGCACTGTAGTAATTAGGAGGCTATCAAGCTGTGTAGGGCCCCAATGTTTCTGTGTTTTCTTATTCATCGTCTCTTTTTCAGGCCATTCATACTCATAGCCCCTCAAACTAAACAGCAAAAGTTTAGAAAATAGCATGCTTATTGGTAATACTCTCCTGGTGTTTTTCACCAGTTTTCGTGACTGTACCTTGAGTCTCGCACCACCGAAAGGTCAAAGGTTAGAGATGCTATCGTTAGGCTTGGGTGCCGAACTCTGTGATTTTTAGGGTAACAACCAAATTATGTCCATACTGAGTGTCAACAACCATAAAACTACTAATCATCCAAGTTAACAATGAACAATTTGAGATTTGAACCTTCATAGTGCCCTAGTTGGAACAACCAGTGCATTACTTTTAGCTTTTATGAGTCATGTAATCCAAGGATGTCAAACTTAAGGTACAGGAGCCAAAATTGGCCCAACAAAGACTTCAATCAGGTCCACTGGAAGGCTTTGGAAAATGTAAACGAGTGAATCTTTATCTGTATTTTTAGAACTTTTACAGCTTTTCCTGCCAATAAAGACCTTTTTAAAAACTTTTTGAACAAACAAAAGCAAAAACAGTCAGTCCGTGGTTAGAAAGAAATTAAAAATTCTGTGAATAACCAAAAACATTATCTTTTACAAATACAGGACAGTCTGAACAATGAGCTGTCAGGACTTTTTCTGTAATTTTATACATTTATCATGCAGAAAAACTGAGATTTACTGTTGAAATTTGTTGTTTGCGTCTCAGGAATTCAATGTTTAGTTAAATGTCTTCACTCAACCCACTTAAGTCCAAAGTGGGCTGTATGTGGCCCATGAAGTTTTATAGCGGTCACAGAACAACATCAGCATTTATGACCTCCGCTAAAGTTTGGCAGCGTTTGCCTGTCTGTCATTCAGTCTGTAAACACAATAGGTCAAAAAGTTTTGAATGATTCTGATAAAACTTTGTCAAGGTGTAGAGTGGGGTCGTGTTAACGAGCCATTCAAATGTAGCTTTCTCCACAGAGGTCTTCAAGTTCAACCTAATGATTTATTGGGTGAAAGCTGATCACAAGCCTTAAAACTTAGAAACTGTGATTCTTACAAATGGAATATAGATATAGAAAGTAACGCATAAAGATTTGAAATATCATGTCACATTTGAGCTCCGACCTTTCTTCAAAGTCAGTGATAACAATACTATTTAAATCTATGTTACTTACTGCCATTGTGTTTATCGACAGCATATAGACATAATTATTTATATATTATCTAATTATCACATTACAGTTTGCATCCAAATATGATGCCATTGTGTCATTTACATTTCAAATCTGTCTTTCAAGTTAACTCCACAATGTGTTACATTTTTAAAGAAAGTACCATCAAGAGAAAGAGCTGCATTGTTAGTTATAATAATACTATATAATATTTCTAAGCTCAGGTTACTCACGTCCAGTTATTTACAAATCAACACCTGTTATGTGTAACCAGAGTAGACATCGGTCATGTTACCCTCATCTAATTTTTACTGCACTACAAACTTCTTAAAGTACCTTTAAGAAGAATAAAGAAAACAAACTTAATATATACAACATACATACATACTATTCCCTTCAAAGTAAATACTGCCCTGAGTGAGGCGCTTTGCTGGAGGTTTGCACTCTGAGTGCTTCTTGTTTAGAAATGCATCTCTGACTATTTGACGTATCCAAGTCCAATATTCACTCTTCCTTTAGCTCTGTGTTGTTTTCCACCAGGTCCTGAAAGTGATAACGTGTTCAGGTTTTGTGATGTATGAAGCTGCTGAGTTTTTATTTAAAGTCTGGTGCTAAACTATTAGTATACAGTAGGTCTATAAGTTACATTAATATAAACAAAACTGGAATAAAGGCAATTAAAGTGATCAACAGGCCATAAAACCAAAATATTAATGAGAGCAGCTTTAACTCTACATGTGGGGTCTGTCTGTTTTCAGGTATCAGTAACACATCCAACTGAGGCAGCTTTTAAAATGAACTCAACTCACTAAATCTCTGAGGAAAAATAGACTCCAGCCAAAGGAGATTTATAACATCCATTTGAGTAGGTTTCCAGAGTCTCTGTGTACACAAATTTCTCAGTGCAACTCATCATGGCATGGCAAGTGTATGCTGCGCATGTTCGTATGTGAACAAGCATGCGTGAATCAGACAGCTTTCTGTTTATAGAGGCACAAGGAATGTCGGTCAGTTTCCCCTGGAAGAGGGGGGAAAAAAAGTGGATACTGGTATTTCCTGAAACGACCCCGAGTCTGGACCCACTGAGAGAGAGACTGAAACAGTGACGGAGAGAACGGACGACTCGCAAAGAAACAACTAAGAGATATGAAAATGTGTCATCTGGATCCATCGGGGATGAAATACATTGATAGAAGTGAGCAAATTATAAGTTCAGCATGTTTTCAAACAAGAGTCTAAAAATAAAACGAATCTTTTTTAATTTAATGAAACTTAATATAATCAGTGATGGACACCTCCATTCATTAAGCTGGAGCCACCCTCGGCACAGCTGTGGGGTCTTCACTGAAATGACTGATGGTTTTTCATGCAGTGCTTGTCCCTCCTACCTACCGTGATGCCAGAAAAGCCTCCACTCGGCTGAAATGCCCCAAGTTAGATCTCTGGACTTGTGGTCAACCCGGAGGCCTTGCTTCTCTTCTCCATTCTTTCCATCCCCTTCCTCATCTCCACCGCTCCTTTTCCCTCGGCTGGCTCCGGTTCTGCTTCCTCACTCACCCTCAGCACAATGCATTCTCCTTCCCCTCCGGTTTGTGGTTTCTGCGCGTCGCCTATTCTCTCCAACACAACGCACACAAGCTGATCTAGATATCTCTCCCTGTATAGAGGAAGAGGAGGGGAATCACATTGCTCTGAATTCCACCTCACATCTGGAAACCATCTTCTTCCTCTCCCTCTTTTTTTCCCTTTTCTTGCCAGTCTCTCTCCCCCCTTCTCCATTGCTCTATGCTGTAATGTAAATAGGCCTGTAATCATACTCCTGCCCTTAGCCCGCCGTGCTGGGTGGTGGTGTGTGTGAGAGAAATCTTACACAGAACACACTTCGCCAACAAGCGGAGATCCCCGTCTTCCTTCCCTCTATCTCAGGCCCCAGCTGAGCTTTATGGGGCGATAAAAACAAAACCCTATTCTTCAACTCTATTTGCATCAATTGCATGCGTGTGTGTCTTTGAGTACTAAAGCAACTGGAGGCCCCTTAGCCACTAATACAAAGTATATAACTGAATGCCGATGACCTAATGCCCCGAGAGTGAAGATTTTAAGAGTGTCATCTCATTGCTCCATAAACTGAACTCAAGGAGAAGCAAAGGTACCTTTGTTTAACTGAAGCAGTGAGGGTTTATTCTTGGGGTACAACACACTGTTTTTCCCCTAAAACTGTTAAAGAAGGTTTTGTTTGGGTACAGTTGTCATGGCAAAGTGAAGTGCTTCTTGGTTTCCCAGCAAAACCTGGCAAGTCCATCATTAACACTACACGTTTTACTTTCTTAAAGGACCAAACCAAAGTTTGCTCATTACTGCCTGTATGTAACCAACACTTTGATTGAACACAGACTGCTAAATGCTGCCAAAGATATCAGTATTTAGCAACTACTGTGCTCATCAGCTAAAAACTTAATGAATCCCATTCGGTTTGAGAGACAAATTACATTGAACTTAGAAATTCTTCCACAATCTCAATAAGCTTTATGGGATAGCTGCTCATGTAGTCGCTCAATACTGTAGCGGTTCACACATTCGCCCAACAAGTTAGAGAAGCCGGTAAAATACCTACCAAATCCAACCGATGGAGCTATTTATAGTGTAGCTGTCCATTAATACAAAGTTTTGACTGATGACATTTAAATTTCCATCATTTCTATTCCCACCACACGACACCAGCCCAGTGTGCAGCGGCATTCAGTGCGAAAACAACCTGAAAGTTTCAACAACTATAGTTCCTCTAATGACCACTCGAGGTTGGCTTTAAAAGTGATCGATCCCCAACAGAGGCCTTCATCATTGATAAATGGAAGAGGTTTTGAACCACCAGGACTCTTCCTATAGCTAGCCGCTCAGCCAGTCTCAGTAATCGGGGATAGAAGGGCCTAACGCTGACACAGCTTCAGCACTGCTCTGTCGGCGTTAGACGAACATCCCAGAAGGACAACCATTATTGCACTGCTCCACCAATCAGGCCTGTATGGTGGAGTGGCCAGATGGAAGTCACTCTTCAGTCAATGCTGAGGAGACAGCCAGAAAATCTGCCTGGAGTTTGCAAAAAGATACCTGAATGTTGTTTCCCAGACCACGAGAAACAAAATTCTCCGGTCTGATAAAAACAAATATTGAATTCTTTTGCCTGAATGCTAAGCATCATGTCTTTAGAACACCAGGCACTGCTCATCACCTGCCCAATGCTGTCCCTACAGTGAAGCATGGTGGTGGCAGCATCATGCTGCAGAGATGTTTTGTGACAGGGAGATTAGTCAGGGTCCAAAGTTAAATGGAGCAATGTACAGAGACACCCCTGATGACATCCTGCTCTAGAGTGCTCTGGACCTCGGACTGGGTGAAGATTCATCTTCCAACAAGACAAACCCTAAACCCACAGCCAAGATAACAAAAGGACCGGCTTCAGGACAACTGAATGTCTCAGCCAGAGCCCAAAATTGAACCTGAACATCCCTGCAGAGATCTGAAAATGTCTGTGCACTGATGCTCTCTATCCAGCCTGATGGAGCTTAAAGGTTCTGCAAAGACAAATGGGAAAAAGTGCTCAAAAACAGGCGTGCTAACTCCTGCCACAATCGCTTCAGTCAAGTACTGAGTAAAGGCTGTGAATTCTTATGTGCATGTTATATATACACACATAATTAATTTTTTTAATAGGTTTGCAAGAATTTTAAGCAAACCCTTATCCCATTAGCATTATGGGTATTATTTTGTATGTAAAGTTTTGAGGTAAAAAGTGAATTTAATCAATTTTCGGAGGCTGTAACACAACGAAATGAGGAACAAGCAAAGTCCTGTGAATGCTTGATTGAATAGGCTGTCTCAATGCTAAAGAGGTTTTCCAGGACTTTAGCTGACACGGACTTGTTTTTCCTGACTTTGATGAGCAGGGTGGCAGATGAAACCAGCCAAAAAGATTTCGTGCCTCCGAAGTATAATCGATATGAAAAGATAACGCTCACTCAGGCTGCACAGGAACCAAGAAGTTAGGTTTTAAAGACCATCCAGTTACACTCCGAGTCAGACACACAGGAGCATGTTCTGTCAAATTATGAATGACTGAATTGTCATGACAGCACTCCCTCACAAAGAAAAACTGGGTTTTTTTTAAAGTGACCTAGTGATGGACGACCTAATCAGACCTTTAATAAAGAAGACTTTGACAGTTGACAGTTCACACACACTCTCACAGAAGCCTATTTCTCCAAGCTTCTCAATCCGACAACCAGCAGACAAACTCGTGCATCTTCATTCAGTGTGATAACTGGATTTACTGCCAAGTACTGAGTGATACCACGTCATTATTCATCAAGATCTCAGAGCGCTTTGACGTGTAATGGGAATCTGCTTTGTCGTCACTTCCAGAACAAAGAAATGACGCAGTCAGAAGTCAACATCGTTCTGATGCATGTCAGCCTTTGGATCAGATCAGCTGATCTCAGATCAATAGTGTCATTTATTCAGTCACACTGACAGACAGCATGACTCTGTTCTGAATCACTCAGTGTCTGTGTTCAGGATTACGGTGGTGAAACGCAGCGAAAGATAACTGTTTAATCTGGACCGTCCTTGACCTGCCTCCACCAAACACTGAGCTCACACGCATGCACTGTGTGTGTGTGTGTGTGTGTGTGTGTGTGTGTGTGTGTGTG